TTGGGACTGGGGGGGATAACTCAAGCATTGGACAAGCATTCAGTCTCCCATAACAGTACACCCTGCAACTCTTTTCAGTAATGCCATGACTCCATAAATGCCCCCAAGCAAAGCATCCCCATGCTGGCTGCCAGGCACAGTCGTCACCTTTCAAAACCCACACCATCCCCCTACAAACCGCACAATGCCATATGCATGCCAATCTGCCAATGAAAGAAAGCATGCCACACCTATATAGACAAAAAAAATTCAAAACTATTTAAAAAGGTGGTGCATTCACATGGTTTTTTTTTTTTTATCAAAAAGGCATAAGTAAAAAAGTATTTAAATAATAAATAAACTAAAGAACATTTATAATAAATAGGAAAATAGAAAAATAGTTTTTAAGAAAGGTGGGATTTTCCTCCCCAGCACCTATACAGCATTGTATACTAACTACACTAACTACACACTATTTCCTATCCTATATAATTCTATACAATATCTATTGAGTTATACAATATCTATAAATCTACACACTATTTAACTAAGCAGTATACTCTAAATAACTGGCTTCTTCTTCATGCTTTTTCTCCTTGGTCCTTTTGCAACCATGAAAGGTTTCTGCAGGGAGAAGGAAGAAAGAAGAAGACAACGGGGTTTTGGACCACAGTCCAAAAACTGCCCTCCTGCCCACCAAGCCTGCCCCACACAAGGTCAGTAGGACATGTTTGATATTACCTATATGTCACCAGGGATGCTGCATATCCTGGGGTGGTGTGTCTGGCAGGCAGTGTCTGCCTGGACTATTCTTTGTGTTTCTGTAATGGGAATGTCAATTATAAGAGGACAGCTGTGGAGCAGGAGAAAGGAGGGCCACGAGCCCCAAGACAAAAGAGCTAGAGCCTCGGAGTCAAGCCCTATCTGGTGGGTTTAGATGGGAAGGCCTAGCTAGAGAAAGACTGGGGTCAAGATGTGGCAGGAGACGTGGCAGGAGTGGGACATGAGAAACCTTAAGGGGACTCCAAGGGCACCCCACATAGGGTGTGGATAATGCAAAAGATGGCACTGGGGAGGATGACCTGTTACAAACATCTTTCTGTGAAACCCTGGATGTAAATACTCAAATGAGGTGCTTTACTTGTCTGCCACAGGGAAAAGTGGGGGAGGGAATATGTACAGAAACCTGTGGGCAAGACCAGACCATGCACGAAAGCACCTCATAAGGTTCCAGGAGAATTTGAGCCCTGTAGCTTCTGCACCCCTCCACCCCCACCCGCAACCTTCATGTGGGACTCGCTGGAGCTGCATAAGTCCTGGGAAGCAGCAGTTTCACCCAGGCACAGCCCAGCTGATTTCTCCTTTCCAGTACAGCTCCAGAGTGGGATGAAAGCCCCCACCAGTAAAGGGAGCTCTGGCTCACCAGCCCTGCTCTGGCTCCCTTTACTGGTGAGTGCTAACAGAGTAAGTTCCCCCTTTTTTACCTCTCTGGATAGCTTGCCTTTGAATGTGAGGCAGGTCACATGGTGTGACAGTTTCTATTGAGTGATATTGCCTGTTACTTGATGGAAATAATGTCTACCAGGGTCCTTAGTGTTTGTCCTGCTGTGAGCTTGTTTCAGACTCCTCATGGAAAGAACTATGGGCACCTATCCATGTTCCTGATGCCCACTCCAATGTGTGTTAACTTTCAGACAGTCCTAGATTTTCCATGGAAGCTAGTAATTGCAAAATTCTTTGTTAGAATAATGGCTTTGGGAGCTCTCCTATATAACCTCTGCCACTGTCATTTCATACAGTTCAGTGAAGACACAAATTCATAAACAGGAGAGAGCTGTATATAACATTAAAAAAATATACATACCTTTTTCTATATATGCAGTGTCTGCTCCACCCCTCAGTAGAGAGCCTTTTAAACATCTAGAAAGGTATCTATAGGAGTAAAGGATAAATTATGTCATCTATCAACAATTAGTTTAACTGAAAATGTAATAACCAGGAACACAGCAGGAGGTGTAACAATGAAATCAATTAATTTAACCAGACAATAAGTCAAAGCTGTAGAATAAATACTGTGCCATATTTGTTACCATATTCTTTAAAGGCAGCAAACTGCAGTACAATAAGCTGGAAGATAATAGAAACCAAGCTGAGTGATTTGATCTAGTTTTTTTTACTTGTTTTTCTTTTCTTTTTTTTTGCCAAATCTTTTCAAATATATTTTAAAATATAAAATATATTTTGAGAAGAGTGCATGAAGAGTGGTTGGTCCTCAAGGACACAATCCTTGAAGTCCACAAGAAGTCCATTCCCATGTGGAGGAAAGGTAGCAGAAGGGCTAGTAAGCACTCTTGGCTTAATAGGGATATCACGGTCCTCTTGAAAAAGTAGAAAGAGGCATAGAAACAACTGAAGCTTGGGACAGTCCCCAAGGAGGACTATACAACAATGGCCCACAGATTAGAAAGGCTAAGGTGGCAACTGAATTTAAACTAGCAATGGAAATCAAGGAAAATAAGAAGTCCTTTATATATGTAGGGAACAGGAAGAAAGCAAATGGAAGTGTTGTGCCATTGCTTAACAACTCAAATCAGCTGGCTACCAACACGCAGAAGAAAACTGAACTCCTGAATAACTACTTTGCTTCAGTATTTCACCAGACTAAGGGGAAAATCATATTAGATAGGGCTCAGAAGGGGCATGGTGGCAATGACTGCCTTCCTACTGTTGACATTGAGCTGGTGTGTGATCAGTTACAGGAATTAGACATGTATAAGTCAGCAGGACTGGATGAACTTCAACTGAGAGTGCTGAAGGAGCTGGCCGAAGGCAATTATAGGCCAGGTAGCCTAACTTCTATCTCAGGGAAAATCCTGGAAAAATTCATCAGAGTCTATGTGTGATATGCTTGCTGAAGGTAGGTTTCTGAATGACAGCCAGCATGGCTTCATTGTGGGCAGGTCTTGTCTTAGCAATCTCATCTCCTTCTATGACCATGTAATTTACCGCCTGGATAAGAGAGAGGAGGTTGACACTGTATACCTAGACTTCCAGAAAGTCTTTGATCTGGTATCCCATAATGTTCTCATGGGAAAATTTGAGTATTGCATGCTTAACTGCTCTACAGTTAGGTGGGTAGGAAGTTGGCTACGGGGTAGGACCCAGAGAGTTCTAATGGATGGATCTGTGTCATCCTGGCAAGAAGTGGCCAGTGGTGTTCCTCAGGGGCCCATGCTTGGTCCAGTGCTTTTCAACACCTTTATCAATGATTTGGATGTGGGGGTGAAGAGATCACTGGCCAAGTTCATGAATGACACCAAGTTATGGGGGAGTGCGGTCACAATTGACTATAGGCTGAAGATACAGGTGGACCTAGACAGGCTCGCAAGTTCGGCAGATCAGAACTTGATGAATTTCAACATTGAGAAGTGTAACATGCTCCATCTGGGGACAAACAATCCCCAACATACTTACAGGCTCGACGATGCTAAACTGACTAGCACCATGACTAAAAAGGACCTAGGAGTAATAAGTATGAACATATTGACTATAGGCTGAAGATACAGGTGGACCTAGACAGGCTCGCAAGTTCGGCAGATCAGAACTTGATGAATTTCAACATTGAGAAGTGTAACATGCTCCATCTGGGGACAAACAATCCCCAACATACTTACAGGCTCGACGATGCTAAACTGACTAGCACCATGACTAAAAAGGACCTAGGAGTAATAAGTATGAACATGAGCCATCAGTGCAATGATGTAGCCAGCAGGGCAAACAATACTCCAGCGTGCATCAACTGATATATCTCAAGCAAAACTAAGGAAGTGATTCTTCTGCTTTACTCGGCATTGGTGAAACTGCAGCTGGAGTACTGCATCCAAATCTGTGCACTGCACTTTAACAAGGATGTGGAAAAGCTTGAGGGAGTCCAGAGAAGAGCCACCCATATGATCAGAGACTTGCAAGGAAAGCCATGTGATGAAAGGCTGAGGGACTTGGGCCTCTTCAGCCTAAAAATGAGAAGGCTGAGAGGGGACTTGGTAGCAGCTTACTTCTACATCAGGGGAATACATCAAGGGCTCCGTGAACAACTCTTCACCAGAGTACCCTTGGGGAAAACCAGGAG